CTGAAATTGCGTTTGGTTAGTTTTTTAAGAGATTATTTTGAGTATAGTAAAAAAGTATATTTAGTTATAATTATTAATTAATATATTATAACATTGTTAATAAATACTAGAAAATGAAAACAGAAAATGAAAAATAACTTTCAATCGTTTTCTAATTCTTTTACAAAAACCATTCTCACTGTTTTTTATTTTCGTTTTCATTTTCAAAACATTTGCTAAACAAATACAGTTTACAGACCGTTTTCATTTTCAAACCTCCAAAAACATTTTTAAAAATAAGTAAAAATCAATTCCAAACACACTAAATAATATACTTCCCAATCAACTTCAAAACGTTAAATTCAGTTATCAAAATGCAAAATAATAATAATAATAATAATAATAATAAAGAACTGGACAATCACAAGTGACACATGTAATCAAAAGGATCCTTCTCCAAGCTCTTTATAAAATCAGCCAAAAAAAATAAGAAAAAAAATACGAGAGAGACAAAAGAAAAAGATTGACCAAGTAAATAGGGTCCCTACTCTCTCTAGCTAGAAAACTTTGATTTCGTGTCTGAATGAAAATTTTGTATAATTGTATGGTTGTTAAATATTATTGGCCAAAGAAATGAATCGTATTATATATCTTCACACGGCTGAGGAAAGAACGTAAACATTGGTAAGAAAGGACCAACTTTTGACTGAAAAATAACAACAAAATTCACTGGCAACCATTTTTTTTTTTTTTTTAAAGTTCCTTTTGCTGAATTGGATTCTAATAGATTACAATTCTTAAACTAATATGAGCTGTAAACCTCTATACGAGAGTTCCGTATTAATTCAACTACCTTACTTTTTATTTTTTATTTTATTTTATTGTTTTTGACATGCAATATATTATAGATATATTCCCACTATACATACCTTTTACGCTGCTTTTTACACCGTTGTTAAGCTATTGGAAAATGTTGCTTAGTCCGTATATAAATTCATTTTTTAACTTAAATTTTTTATTTAGATTTGAATTGCAAAATAAACAGTGTGGTAGACGTTTAGTTTATGAATTCAGACTCATTCTCAATTTATGTGTGTTTTTTATGAAAAAAAATAATGTAACAAATCACGAAGCATTATTCAAATTATGACACGAATACACCAACGTTCAAAACAATGTATTTCAGACATGTTATTGTTTAAATCTACGTTGTTGGAAAATGTTGCCTAGCCAACATGGCTGCGCCTGCGACTTAAGGGTGGACCTGCACGTGAGCCCTTATTTGTAGGGCTGATCGCATTGTGTCTGAGGCTGATCTTTCGTTTGAACGGTATTGTATGGTCAAACACGGATATCATTCCAAAATATTTAGCAGGACTAGGATAAAATAACACCGACTGTTAATTAAAAAAATAAAAAAGGGATAAAACAAATTTTCTTGTTCATTTTACCGATTCGAGTTTTCAGTTTTAGGTTTTTACAGTTAAAAGCTCTCAGAAAATGTCATATTGTACTTTTCTGCTACAGTTAAAAATTCTCAGAAAATGTCACATCTCAACTCGAATTGAAAACTCAAATCCATGAAGCGAACGAGACATCCTATGGCCTATTCTTTTCTTGATTTAAGAAATTGATACCAACACATTAATTTTGGCAATCTCCCCCTTTGCTAGTCTAAGAAAATCTTGATAATTGCGCTCTATTAGGTGATCCTGTTGGAAAAAATTAAGGAGACGTTTGGTTCATGGATTAGAATCATTTTTAATTTACGTGTGTTTTTTGTGAGAGAAAATACTGTAGCGAACCACGAACCATGATTCAAATCAGGGGACGAATCTCCCAACCAAACAACCTCTAAATGAACGGTCCATTTGCCTATCATGGGTGCAATTTTAGGACTCGGTAGGAAAGTAAAGAAGGAAAAAAAAAACATTCTTAAAAAGACTTTCTCTTGTATGCTTCTTTATCGGTAATGTCATTTTTTAATTGTTATATCTGGTTAAAATAACATTGAATTAAAAAAAGTATGCAGAATAAATAATTTATGGCACAAATTTAATGACTGAAAAGTAAAAAACTACCGGTAGCTCATTTTTGTTAGTTCTATTAGAGAAAATGGGTGTGACTTTAAATGTTGACTAATGGGGGGAAGACATGTGCAATCACTCCGACAACATGTGGTGGTGGAGAAGGAGTTGGCAACGCTGGTGGCGTTGCCGTTTCCTAACAACCAAAAAGGATGATTCACGAAAATGAGGAGAGACTAGAGTACAACAGATAGAGATAGAAAGGAGAAAGAGAAAGTTTGGTTTATCTCCCTAAGTCACTCCATTCCATTGTGTTTTTCCACCAAGATTTCTAAGTTCCAAATCAAATTGCAAAAATAAAAAGTATATGGACTAACTTATCAAGTCACAAAAAATATTATCATAAAAAGAATCACACAAAGTGTAAGGGTTAGGAGTGAATGCAGTTATGACTCGTCAGAGCTTTTATCAAGTTCAGTTTCATATTTATTTTTAATTTGATATGATTTTAAGAGAATGTTAAACGTATGTATTAAATTGAATCGTATTATATTAAATAATTTTTATACAATACAATGTTTGGTTTGAGTCGTATTAAAATATTGATTACGTTATATCAGCTTTTCACTATTGTATTGTATCAAATATTAAACATTAAAATATATAATTAAGGTCTAAACCCCAACCTCACTATACTCTGGTACCTGAAATGAGTTAGGGTATAGGATCGGGTCGAGGAGCGATATTGTGGTCAGGGTCCAAAACCTGGGTTGGGGTTAGGTTTTTGGACTGTATTATGATAAGAGATTGAGGTTGGGGTGGGTTTCGGAATTAGGGCCGGTGTCAGGTTTCAAGACTAGGGACAAGTCGAGTTTCAAAACTGAGACCAAGGTTGAATTCAAGTTTCAGGATCGAGATTAGGTTTCATGATTGGGGTCGGGTCAGTGTCAAGTTTTAGGGTTGGTAGTGATGTGGCAAATTTATCTAACCCACTTCATTAAGTTGAACGAACCTACAAGTTGACTTGAGTGATGACACTCAATTATCCATCTTAGGCAACTAGTCACTTAATGTCTGCTTACTTGGCATGCTCTCAGTGTCTCGTGAAAAGGTAATATCCAAACAACACTTGTTGTCGACAGTCGAGTCAATTCGGTCAACTCAACATATGGAGGGTCAGGAAAGGATGAGTTCTAACTCGAACACACATTATAAGAACATTTTATCATATCCTCTCACTTTTTTTTAAATAGAGAATTGTGTTGTAGAGTATTAGAAAAAAAAAATCCAACTGATCGGATAAATTTATAGGCAAAGTCTTAAGTCTAAAGGTTCTACAATTCAGAACATATAACTTTTTCACATGTACAGGTAACAACATTTGTTTGTACGTTTTATTTTTTTCGTGTACCTTTGTAGCACTCAATATTACATGCGTTGAATTATATTTTTCTTAAATGTTACACTAAAATAAATTTAGTATTACATACAAGTACGAATAATGTAAAATATGAACCTAAGAAGAAAGTGTTACGCGTCTGACTGGTTCGGGTGTCAGACTTAACACAACTGCAAAATTTCATTAAGTTGTCTAAAATTTTCATGATTTTCTTTAGGGGAAAAAAAAAGAAAAAAAAAAAAAGAGGAGACAAAATCCAGAAATGATTGGAATGGGTTATGGGAAAAGGACGAGACGTGAATCAGCATCCGAGAGGATGGAGAATATTTCAGACAAGAGAAATGTAGCTGGCAACCATTTTTATTTTATCATGATGATCACATCAAATGCCAATAATCACCACCTATCTTATCAAAACAATAATAAATTAAATAATAATTAAAACTACTCAACATAATCACCAACCAAAACTATTCTCATATCAGGCATTCGTGAATCGTGGTGAATCGTGGGTGCCATTCCTTGCAGGACTGTCTAAATCATTATATATATATATGTATAATAATAAATATATGATATGTAAATTAATACCTATCCTTTGTTTGAAGCGTCAAATAAGACTCATCCACACCAATTATATATCTTTTGGTGTGGTTGTCCGTCCCACCACCCAAATCTAAATACACATAAATGTATTGAGCGTCTGTTTGGGACCGTAAATCATGGAGAATCATTGACCCAAATCACCCTATTCATTATTTATTTATGTCGTTTCAAGCATCATATTTTTGTAAAGATCCACTAGGTAATTGTTTTAGTAAACTCAAATTTGAAAATGTCAAAAAAAAAAAAAAACAAAATATCTCTAAAGGGAATTTTTTCAAATGTTTATACTTGAAAAATAAAAGATTTGACATATCAACAATGTTGCTTATGGCGATGAGGAATATTTACCACCGTCCGTCACAGCCACTAGATGGTCTATTATGTTAGAAAATGTTCAAAATCTAACTCTCACTTTACTTTTTTTTTTTTTTGGAAAAAACACACTTTACTTTTACTTTTTATTTTTGTTTAGAAAAAGCAGTATTTTCATTGAACCAAAATAAAGGTAAAGATCTTATATAAACTTGTATAAGAAATTAAAAGATTAAATTGCAAATATGGAAAATTTGACAAATCTAACTCAGAAAAGAAATACATCTTTTGCTCTTTCAAAATACGCTATAATTTTAACAAAAGTTTATGGAAAAGTACTTTGGATTACAGATACAACTAGATCAAGTTTTCCCAAGGGAGGGCTAAAGCAATAATCTTAAAAGATGTATGGTGTTCCTATAATACTAGAAAGCAATAATCTTAAAAGATGTACGGTGTTCCAATAACACGAGCGTAAACATTAAGGAAAATTTTGATGAATGGTTGGTTATGAGGGTCCTACAGTCGCACATTCTACTGTAAGTGTACATTTTTACTTATTTAAATCTGAATAAAATCACATTAAAATTAAAAAAAATATGCAAAATAAATAATTTTTAGACAGATTTGTTGACTAGAAAATAGAAACCCACAAATAATTCATTTTTCAGGTCATATCGTAAAAATCTCCTGATTATAAAGACTTTCTATAATCCTTTTTCCAAATTGTAGGATACAACAAAGCTAGTAAAGTATACACAGAACTTATTAAATTATAGCAGAAGAAAGTGGCTACTCAAGTTATTTGTCTACAAGCTTGGATGGAAGGATAAAATACACAGAAGAACTCAATCCATCCTTGTCCAAGCCCCCACAAGGATGCAAGATTTTAAAGACAAATCTCTTTTCTTAGTATCACTGTCTATTTCCAACTTCATAACTTCTAACCATACCAGAAACCCAAAAACTAATTTTTCTCTGAGAAGTTTGGGACGCGAGAGAAAGCAACTCCAACGATGAATAGGAAACAAGCACAAGCCTTACAAAATCAATGGACAAGAAGGCAGAGAAACAGAGAAAAATAAACAAAAAGAAAAGGAAAAAAAAAATCTAATTGCAGCCTTCAAAACGGAATTGGTTCTTTTCTTTGTCAGCTTCACCGTCCATCCGCCGATGTGAAAGAGTCTGCAAACCCAGATGGCCTGGTAGGTATGCTGGTCTGCGTATTGTCTCCGCTCGGCAAAAATGACGATGAAGAGTCATCCAGGTTTGTGTTTCCCTCGAAAGCCTGCCATTTTTTCAGAGCCTGTGGTAAGCTCATGTCAAAATTGATTCCATATACATCGTCAGAATCTTCTGTTTCGGTTGGTTTCCAGAGCTCAACAAGAGATGAAAGAACATTCACGGCATGGCCCATATCAGGCCTCTGGTAGGGCTCTCTAGCAGTGCAGTGTCCGGCAAGCTCTGCGACAGTGCTAACACTAGCAAGAGTTTCCTCGTCCAGATCAATTGCAGGGTCAATGACCTTCCGGAATGTATCCTTATTCGTACACATTCTGCGGAACCATGTGACAAGATGTAGGCTTTCTTCAGGCTGGCTCTCGTCAATGGCTTTTCGTCCGGTGATCAACTCCATTAGGATCACGCCAAAGCTATACAAGTCCACCTTTGTAGTAATTTTCCCAGTTACTGATCAATCATCCACAACAAAGAAACAACCATGAATTTAGTGCCCTTGTCATCATAAATCTACTGAGCTAAAATTAACAATTTCAATAACATAACGGCTTTATAGCGGTATGATTACTCTATTAAGAGGACGTCCCATGATAATTCCAGTTTACTACTACAAGCATATTTGTTAAAAAGGCAGAGAAAGTGTTCAAATTTTAGCATAAAAGACCAGGAAAATTAAATGTACGTGCAACAACATGGATAATATGGCTGCACATTAGATTTTGAAGCTTTAAAATCTCCCTTGTGTTAGATAATTTTAATCCCAACTTTCCAACATGTTCAAGAGGCTTGCGAAATCTCATTCAAAATCCTTATCATATTTCCACAATTTGGCGATTGCTCGGGGTCAAAGAGTAATGTTTCAATGCCAATATTGTGTCCTACATTCATTGCGAGGTTACAATTTCAGTTCTTTGCTCATCATATAAATGAAAAGCCTATCATTTTAAAGATTCTAGTCGAAAATCAAAGGCATATAGAAAGATTTATTACCTGCATATTCAGGAGCAAGATAACCAAAAGTTCCCGCGAGTCTAGTCTCAAATGAGGCTTTCCCTTCTGGAGCAAGACGTACAAGTCCAAAGTCTGCAACTTTCGCCCGCATGTCATCGCCGAGAAGAATGTTGGATGGTTTGAGATCCCTATGAATAAAACTCTGATGGGCTAAACTATGCAGATACTCAACACCTCTAGCAACATCCAAGGCAATTGTCAGCCTTCTCGTCCATTCGAGTGGCTTCAACCCTTCTTCCTTCCAGTTACAAAGGTACCTACTAAGAGTCCCCTGAGGCATGTACTCGTAGACAAGAAGTCTCTCGTTCCCGTCTAGGCAATACCCGAGAAGCGCAACCAAATGGCGATGTCTGACCTTGGTAAGAACAGCAATCTCAGACTTGAACTCACTTAAACCTTTATCAGCCACCACTCCAGATTCCATCCTCTTAACCGCGATCTTTGTCCCGTCGTGCAATTCCCCCTTGTAAACAGTCCCGAAACCCCCGTGTCCAAGTATGTTCGCATCACTGAAGTTGTTGGTCACATTCCTCAAGACTTGAATGGATATGATCATACTTCCAGCCTCAACAACATGAATGTCACGGCCTCCACTACTCGAGGGACTATAGACTTCGCTCCCGCCACCATTAGCCCCGGATGGTGCAACTACAATCTTCACCGCATCTTGGTTGCCAGAGTGATGGGGATGTAAAACCACTGTGTTTGGACTTTGCACTCTACCTGAATGCTTTCTTTTCCTAGTAAGAAAACAAAACGCGACCGCCCCAAGAACAAGCAACCCACCAACACCGCCCACGACAGCTCCCACAACCACCCACGTCTTAGACTTATTCCCGCCGCTTCCCGAAGAACCATTCCCTCCACCGCCGCCACCACCCGTCGGAGAGCCAGGAGAACCGCCGGGAGGCGTGCCAGCAGGAGGGTCACTACTCTTTTCCTTCCCAATATCTTTGTTCCCATCAGTTTTCACAAGCACATTCTGGCTAAACTTTGGTACTTTCCCAAAAAGCTGATTATTCGAAACATCAAGCTCATCAAGCTGAGTCAAACTCGCAAGCTCATCCGGTATTCTACCCGTCAGCATATTATCAGCCAAAATCAACTTCTTCAATGACTTAATCTTCGAAAAACTCAGCGAAATCGCACCCACAAGACCCATCTTACGAAAATTAACAACAGTAATATTTCCTTGAGCATCACACCTAACACCCTTCCAATCGTTGCTACAAGGATCATTCCCTTTCCAACTCTGCGCGAAACTCACCGGATATCCCAACGGTTCCAACACTGAAAGCAAAACATCAACCCGGGCATCACAACTATCCCCAGGATTATCAACACAGAAGCTATTAGTCCCTTGTTTCATATCAATCCTTACACCATCACCAAACTTCGGAGGCGGTCCTTGAAGCAAATTATTAGTGAAATTCACAACTTTAAGACTCTTGAGACTCAACAGAGAAGATGGAACAATACCTGTGAACTGGTTATCTCTCAAACTCAAAGCATTCAACTGCGTCAAGTTGGAAAAATCCGGCAAAGGCCCCGAAAACTGGTTCCCGTGAAGCCAAACGTCGTTGAGATTGTTCATAGTCGACAACACCTCAATTGAGCCATTCAGCTTCTGCCCATTGAGCCAAAGGGACTGAATGCTCGAACCCGAAAAGGTATCGGGCAATTTGCCTTCGAGGTTGTTCATGGCCAAATGCAGCTTCGTCAAGCCGGGGAAATTGCTGCCCCCGAAGAAATCAGGGATTTTCCCAATGATGTTTGCTCTACTAGCCGAAAACTCCTTCAGCTGAGAACAGTTCTTCAAGCTCTCGGGAATCGTCCATGGCGAGAGAGAAGGAATATTATCAACAGAAATCTCTTCCAACGATGAAAGGCCGTCGAAAACATTCGACGGAATCGATGTAAAGTTGTTGTCGTGGGCTAAAACGACTTGCAAAGAAGCCAAGCCCGAGAAGTTCGGAAACGCGCCGTTTAGCTGGTTGGTCATAACCTCGAATTGCTGCAACTCCGACAAGTCGGCGATCTCCAGTGGGAGGGTTCCGGCGAGGTTCTGGTTTCCGATTTGGATCTTTGTGACCCGGCCCGAGCTTTTGTCGCACGTGACTTTGGCCCAGTTACAGTAATCGGACCCAGCGGCCCAGCCCAGAGTGTTCTGGCCTATGGATTTTCTCAGAGCTTCCATGGCTTTTCCGTCGACATTGGACTGGGACTTCACTGGCGAAGAAAACAGCGAGAAGATTGACAAAACGACGACGTAGAGGGTAAGAACAAAGGAAGAACCCCAAGAACCCAGATGGGGTTCTTTCATTTTCTTTCTTGTTTCTATTTCTTGTGCTTTCTTTCTTTTTTTCTCGGGAAAATAGGGGAGAGAAAATCGGAGGATGGAAGGAAAAGGGCAGTTTTGTTAAATTTTTTTTTTCCACAGCGAGGATGTCGTGAAATTGTGTAATAATGGGAGAGAGGAAGCGGCGGAGATAGTGGGAGAAAATTGGGAAACTGGAGAGAAAAAGGGCAAAAAAAAAAAAGGTGGGAAAAAAGAGGGAAACTGGTTTTGGACCCGTTTTTTGGGCGTGGGTTTCTATGTCTCCGTTTGGGGACAGAGAAAGGAAAAGAAAATTAAATAAATAGTTGGCAAGGTTTTCATGTGGGGTTTGGGTAAGAAATGGGAAAACAACAAAACAGAAGAGGTTTTTTTAGAAAGAAAATCAATTATCAGTTATCAATTGTGTTTTTTTTCCGAATTTTATTTATTTTTATTTTTGAAAATTATGGCTATTCGTAGCTATGGAAGGCGATACACGTAATGAATATCTATGGTATTTGGTGGTGGGTTTTTATGGAGCTTTAACGTTGCAATCTTTGGATAAGGAAATTCCTCTTTTTTAGTTGTCCAAATCTTTTTCTTTTGGAGCCAAAAGCGGCATAAATGAAATTATATTATTTTTCTGTTTCCCAATTTTGGGGATTTATTTTTATTTTTGTTATCGTGCAAACAGCTCAACCTCAGCTGTATGCTTCTCTAGCTATTTCCTTGTTTATTCTCATAACCATAATAGAAAGACACGTATATTTTGCACCTGCCATCCCCAAATTTTGACATTTGACATTTCGATCCACATTTCAAAAATTTTCTCGACACTTTAGTCCCCATTTCAAAAGTTTGTACAATTGGCGTATCATACTCTTATTTTGTTGACACTTAGGCCCCAATTTTGAAAATTTGGACACCTGTATATTAACAGAACAAAAAAATTCAAAAATAATAAAATAGATATTTAAAAGTTCTAAACATTAACCATATCAACATTCTAGATATATGGTGCAAAAATGAATTTAACTTTTTATCAGCTATAATCAGATAATTTATTTATTTTTACTGTAAAAAGACTTTATTAACATTTAAATTCATTAAGTCAACGTATAATTGCTAAAGTCAACATGTTGTAATGTATGCTCATTCATGAATAATATCTCTAGAATATCAATGTGGTTATATATTTTTTTTGAGTGGTGAAATTTCATTTAATAATTTACTCAATACAAACTCTAAAATAGTCACATATGCCCACCATATATAAGGGTTGACCACAGACAAAAATTGAATCCATAAGTAAATATAAATGAGGTACACAAGTGAATGTGAGTGTCAAATCCTAATGGAGAAAGACCCACACAGCACATTAACAACCAGAGTGTGAGAAAATCATTACAATCGATGAGTACAACTAGTCAACTGAGAACAAAATACTAAGAGCACCAAGGTTACTCACAACACCACATAGAATCAAACCTAACAGAAGAAACCTACCACCACTATAGAAAGTTGTTATTTTAAAATTTTATTATTTTCATGGTCAAAAATTTTCAAAACGGGATCAAGTGTCAATAAAATGAGAGTTTGCTAGTTTGGGAACCTGCCTGGCCAAAATTTTGAAATAGAGACTTAAGTGCAAGAAAATAGGAGTTTGGAGCCCAAGTTTGAGGACCCTAGTGTAAAAATCCCTTTTCTGTATTGATTGCAATTTATCTATAAACCAAATTAGGCCAAGGCTCTTGGTTAGAATTTGTTTTTCTTTTTTATTCTTTTTTGGCAGTGGTTATAATCAAAAGAGTTTGACTTAAGAAAATTTAATATTTGAATCTGTTTTGTATATTGTTTTTTTTTTATATATATTTGGATAAAAAACTTTAGACTTTTTTATAGGTACAGAAAAAAACTTTATTGATATTGCTTTTGGATCATGGCTTCAAATTTTCATAAAGTTTTATCGATTTTGCATATGGATTTTGTATATTTTTTCATCCTTTTATAATTTTGATGTAATCACATTTTACAAACATACAATGCTACTATGGGTATCCTATCATAGAATAACTCAGTATAACTAATTTGGTCCCAAACTAAGTGGAATTTTTTTTTTCAAAACATTATATAGTAGGGTAAAAAAGTAAAAAGGCTTATTGATATTACAAAGTTTCAATTATTCGATTTAGTCAACTTTCATTAAATTAAAGTCCTTTTTACATATTATTTTGGCATGTTTTGACAATGTAGTTGCAGTCATAATTTAGGAGACAACAATAATACTCCACCTTATTGCAGAGTTGAAATATTTCACCCCATCTTTGATCATCTCAAATATAAATGTTTTTACTAATTGCATATTTACCATAAAAAAATGTGATATGGTATATTATTTTCATTTTTGTTTAAATGTATAATGCTATTTAAAATGCTAAATTTATTTTTTTTATCTAATTATTAAGTTTAGAAAGTTGTAAAAGTAAACTTTTATGTTTAAAATAATTAAAAAATGAAAAAAACATTTTAACTAATAATAATCAAATGTCAAATTTCTCATATGTTATACTTGGTGAGAAATTTGCCACAAAGTATATCATATGAGAAATTTAGCATAACAAATAACATTGCATGGGACAGTGTTTTTTGCACTCAAATGTTAAATTTACAATTGACACATCAGTTATAACATTACATTTGAGATGCTTAAAGTGTAGAGTTCAAATTTTTCCACATCAAGTAAAAAAAAATGACAATTCAGCTTATACAATATTAATAGAGGTTTTTTTCTTTCATTTTTTTTCAGTATACTCTATTATACAAGGGCAATTTTTAAAAATACCACTTAAAATGGAGCCCCGTTTTATTTCTACCCATTAACATTGAACCATATATCCTTTTAGACTAGAACTAATCAAGAAATATAATTTTTTAAAAAAAAATACTTTTAGTAAATCAGATACTTAAAGAGGTATAATTTATCATTTTTTTTTTATTATTACCATTCTCAAACCTTTTCCCCTCAATTTTTTCTCCTAAGTAAAAAAAAATCTTTTCCCCAATATTTTTCTTTTTCTATAGAGGAATGATGGATACACTTTAATATGAGTTAGAGCAATGGTAGATTGCTAATAAATGTATATGATGTGCAAGTTGCGCACTCTTATTTGAGAACCATAAAGTGAAGCTTAAAATTAACTTTACTGGTTATTTTATATTGTTTAAATTAAATAAATGAATTTTATTGTTGATTTGTTGGTTTACAAACCCATGTTCTCCCTAATCCCTTTCTTTTTCCTTTTCTTTTTGTTTTTGCTAATTAGCCTAATTAATTATACAAAATACATAAAAGCCAGGATAAAAAAATAGATATAAAATGTGAGGTCTATCTAATGTATCTTACTTTTTTGCACCTTAGGATATATTTGGTAAGAGGGAAGAAGAGTAGTGAAGAGAGATGGTGGATCCCTTGTTTGATATGAAGGAGAAGAGGAGGGAGAAGAGATATGGAGAGAGAGAGTCTCTCTCTGGGTCCACCGTTTTGTATAATTTCATTAATGAAAAAATCTAACTAATTCATCCAAATTTAAATAAAAGTACTTTTTTCACCCTTCAAAATAAATTATTAAAAAAATAATAAAATGGTTAATATAGTAATTAAATAAATAATTATTATCTATCTTTTTAACTCTCTCTTTATCCAATTAAATAACATGAAAAATTATTATAATTCTCTTTATTCTTCCTACTTCTCATCCTTCTAACTCTCTTCATCATTTTAATTCTCTCAATCTCTCTAACTAAAAACGAAGGCTTAGTATGCTATCACACACGACACATGTGATAATGCATTATTAAAATGAAAAATGATCAAGTGTTGAGACTAAATTAATAATTTAATCATGAGAATTGAGATTTGCTTCGTCTTTTGCTCTGCAGAATTATGTAATAGGATCCTAAGCCCATCTTCGCTTTGGCATTTTTGTGGATTGCACCCAACAGTCTCTGACAAATTTAATCAGTCAGTGCCTGACATTTCTGGACATACCTTATTTTTTATTTATTTATCATATTTTAATTTTTAATTCCTTAGCAGTCAATAACCTTATAGTTTACTTTAATCATAATATAAAAGAATGCCATGTAACTTTGCTTGTTTAATGCTCCAAATCAATCTTGCTAATAATTTGTTATTATTAGCTAAGGGATTGATGGAAAAAAAAATAGAAATCCATGATACTAAATAATGATTAAAATAATAACGATTAATTAGGTGAACTAATGTTCCTTAGGATAAGATCCTAAGTAGTTGATCAAGTCTAGATCAAATTTATAGCATGTTATCTCAACCTAGAAAACTTACCACTTCCTTCTGATAATATCAAATTATTACCGTTTTAAAAACCAGCTGTTTAGTAATGAGAATTTGTTTAGGCATAAAACGTTACTACTCTCTTAAAAATATGAGATTTTTATTGTAGGATATGAATAATTAGTATTCCATCAGTTTAAAATTGTTAGATATGTATTAGATTCTATTAATTTTGTATTTTTTTTCTCAGTTTCGATGTGATTCTGACTAAGTGTCCTTAATCCTTATATTTCAGCAGCCACGTTGACGCAGAAAAGCACTTAGGCCCATGCACGTCTCTTTGGTCTCGTTCGCTTCACAGATTCGAGTTTTCAATTCGAGCTGAGATATGACATTTTTCTGAGAGCTTTTAACTGTAGTAGAAAAAATTAGATATGACATTTTCTGAAAGTTTTTAACTGTAGAAACTTAAAACTAAAAACTCAAATCGGTGAATGAACGAGGCCTTTATGTTTGTTTGAAAAATTACACATTAATCCTAATTCAAATAATAAAAAATTACTCTATTCTTATATAGTTCTAACCAACTCACCAAGCATATTGTAACTAACTAATTAACTATATATTTAACTATTTTTGCGTACATGTTCGGAGTAAAAATAACTCCCGCCGTTTCTTTTCTCTACAATTGTTTTTTTTTTCTTTATTTTGTTTAATTATGGGAAGATCTCCAAACTTTCAGTTAACGTTCAAAAACATCCAATAAGCACTCTCAATTGAAATACAAAAAAAAAAAAAAAAAAAAAATGATCGGTTGATTAAATGACATAAAAAGTCACATATAAAATTATATTTTTAATCAACTTCAAGAAATTTAAACGATACCCATCTTTTTCTCTCTCTGTTTTTATTATTATTTTTTGATAGGGAGATTTCATTGGAGAAAACAGAAATTACAATGTGAATCAACAAAAACCGGATGTAGTAATAAACATCTCTTTTAGTTGAACGAAACAAAGATGAAATTACCAGATTCTTTGAGTTTTATGGTTGGCAGTTGGCACCGAAGGGAAGAAAAAACATTTCATGATTATGTTACATTGTGGCGTGATTATAGCTATTTATATCCATAATGAGGTAGATGAACTTGAATAAGTGGTTTTTATTTTTATTTTTATTTTTATTTTTATAAAAATGATGAATACGTTTCTTTCAATGCATCATGAATGCACTTGAGACTCATCAATATGAGGTCCACATGTACAAGTGGTCCCCAATAAAATGAGTTGGAAATATTCTTTGAGCCGTCCAAAACAAGACAAAGGGCTTAACATGTATTGTGTTTACTTGTCCACATAAAATCTTGGATAATGACCTCATGTATATATGCGTGCCAAATGGAATAGTTTTGAATAAGAAAGCAACTAATATGTCCCAAAAATATGTTGCCAACTCATCAATAGAGGTTCCAAATGCAAAATCATTTTTGTGACACATCCTTTTACGTTCTCTTCAAAAATATTTTTGGCCACTTTGATATATTTGTTTTTTTTTTTTTTTTTGAAAGGGATATATTTGTTTTTTTTTTTTGTGGTTATATAGTACATTGTTCTTTCTTTTTCATTTTTTTAATAAATTAAAAAAATTTAAAAATATTTCCAGCAATAAATGAAAAGTATCAAAGCTTTTGAACTATTTATTTATAAGCGAATTAATGAGTGGCAGAAACTAAATAACTCACGAGAGAGAAGAATAAATCATAATGTACGTACCTAAAAGCTTTGAAATATTGAAGCCTTATTTATTTATATCATAATTCATTATATTATTATTTTCATTTTCTTTTTGAGCAGTTATGAGACAAGGGTAGCAAAAACTTTTCACACGCAACTATTTCTTTGTAGAGTTAAGCTAGAAGCAAGCTATCGTTAAATCATGAATGATCAACTTTGTTTTGGTCGATCATCATGAATGATCAACTTGAATTGCAGTAAGTGATTTCCAACCGTTTAAACCTGCCCAAATATCAATTTCTCTCAGTCTGACCCATGCATTCATGATTTTTGTTAAGCCTAATTTTCATGTACATAGAGGATAAATTTTACGAATTTCTTCTGTAATTTATGTTTATGTGTCTCTAGAACTTTAAAATGTACATGTTGTACCTCTAATATATAATCACTAACTAGATACTGATTAAACAATGATAATATCAAGATAATTAATGTTATACCAAGCATTTCCTCAAGACCTAAATAGTTATCGGTACCTTAAGCTCAATACCTTAAGTTCCCCTAAGACAAGTGCTTTGGAATAGAACAATTTAGCTCTCACCTCAGTGATAGAGCTCTGTACCTTAAATTTGATACCTCGAGCTCATTCCCCTAGGACAAGTGCTTTAGGATAGAACAAATTAACTCCCACCTCAGTTTATCACGTGAAAAATGAGGAGAAATACTATGCGCGTGTTTGGAACCGTTTTTAAAAACAGTTTTTACGTATTTTGAGAAGCACAAAATGAAATGAAAACGAAATAATGTTTGTTTAGTAAATATTTTAAAAATCATGAAAATGAAAATTAAAACAGTGAGAATATTTTTTGTGAAGGAATTAGAAAACGGTTGAAAGTTATTTTCACTTTTCTGTTTTCATTTATAGTACTTATCAACAATATTATAATATAGTAATTAATAAACACGATTTCATTTTTTTATTATAGTCAGAACAATCTCTTAATAAACCAACTAAACACAATTTCAGAATCTGTCACAGAATGATTCTCAAAACAATCTCATTTTTACTTGAAAATAAAATTATTTTAAAATTAATTCCAAACGCACCCTACATTATTTTCACCATGACATGTGGATTATGAGGGTGCTCGAAGATCCGTCACCACTCATGGAGGGGGTCACCATCTGAAGAAGAGCAAGAGATGTGAAAGTGAGGGACGTGGGGGAGGATGTTTACACCCCCCACCGACGCTTACTTAGAAGAAGAGGCTCTATAAATATGAGGAAAGGGTGCGAAGTTGGGGGGACCAAAAAATTTTCTAATTAGATTGTTACTCCTCTACACTTGTACCTCGAGAGTCTTGAGAGCATTTCAGTGTGTACCAAGAAGTTCATCAATAAATTCATACTTTTCGTCTTTATTTTCGGAACATGATTTTCTTTTCTTATTTTTCTCTCATTGTTTTGATCCGTTTCAACTAAGTATCATACTTGGAATTCGAGTTCTTGGTTGTTGACAAAATTCTACCGTTAACAATTAGTGATAAACTAAAGTTAATCAACCATAAATTAAAATTAATAAAAAAATATTATTTTCTTATTTTATAAAATTTCGGCCCTTTAATAAAAACCCTAAAAAACATCCATTTACTTCTAAATCCCATTTTTTTAAGGAAAAACTATAAAATACGTTAATGAGGTAAATCTGCCAATTCAAAAGGTGATAAACCACATAATTAACAAAAATATATTATTTCGGAATTATTGATTATCCAAAATAATTAATATCTTTTTTATAATCACAGGTTTTTTGTTTAGTTAATTTCAAGGCGTGCCATCTTGATGCCAGTTGTTTCTTCTCATCATTTATTCAAAAGGAAAGAAAAAAAAAAAAAAAAAAAAAAAAAACTCAACACGTTTTCTTGCTTATTTGCCAGATTTTAGGACGATTTTGCAAATTAGATTCAGAAGTCATGAATCTGATGAGGTTTTTAACTCTAACGATTAATCATTATATCGTAACTCAACACGTTTTCTTGCTTATTTGCCAGATTTTAGGACGATTTTGCAAATTAGATTCAGAAGTCATGAATCTGATGAGGTTTTTAACTCTAACGATTAATCATTATATCGTTCAAATTTTGAATACAGGAAAAGTGTTTCTCAAGTTAATCAGAATCGTCTGTCGCTATGATTACAAAGATCTCAAGCTGAGTTCAAATTGAAGATCATCTAAAGCTGAGATCCAAATTTCAAGTATGATCTTGTGGAGATTTGGCCCTAGAGGCACATTTCTATCTTTAGGTTTTTTTTAACTTATTTATTTATTTATTTTCTGATTAATAAAAGGTCTCATTTTCTGATTTAATAACTTGATTTTCCCTTATTTTAAGTTGAGTTGTTTGTTTAGTTACTATTTTTAAGTCAAATATTCGTTTTTGGTACTTTCTAACAATAAGAGAACTACAATACAAATATCCGATCAATTTTTCCATATTTTTGAAATACTAGTTGCTATTTGTGTCATTAAACTTGTAAAAACTAATGCGGATATGAACAAGCTGTACGTGAAGGGTTAACTCAATTATGTATAAATTAATAGGCCACACATGGACATATGTTTTATGTACATGTTTTTTTTTCCTGTTCCTATAATAATATCATCTCATGTCAATTAAAATAGTGTAATTATATGACCAATTTTTAATTGATATGATATTATATTTTAATTAACATGACATGCTGTTATTAAAAGAGAATGAAAATACAAAAGCAAACAATGGTGCCCTCAGAAGTTCATTTATACAATCATACAAGAGAGGGCCATAATTGCTTTGTTGTTAAATACAAATACAGTAGTGATCGTCCCATTCTCATTAACAAAATCAACCTTAGTTTCATACTGATAAGCTAGTCATACACTAAGTACACTACACACATACAAACGTATACCTATATATATATAGGCACACACAGACGTACGCCATCAAACGCAAACCCTTATCTATTAGAAATTGAAAACACACACACGTCATATACATACGTACATATATATATATATATATATATATATATGTACACACGTATGTATGTATTGACACGTACAAACAGTCTGCTAGTTTCATGCAGGGTAGTCAAAGGTGGTGAATGTGCTAATGAAATCACTCACATGTTGTTCTCCAATCCCAATTCGGACCAAGAAATTCCCAGGCTCTTCAAGATTCGGCATCAGAAAAACGGCCTCAGGAACCGGAGTTCCCAACAGACTTGCACCAGAAACCTTTCCCCATCCGAAATCTAAAGCATCAAAAGGGAACTTTAGCCAGTCAGATACAATAGTGAGTTCTCGCATGGAAGGAAAGAACTTATCCGAAGAGCACTCTAGGGCTTTCACGTAGAGCTTGATGTATTCGTCGGTGATCGTGTCTTTCGCTGCTTGGATTCTCCGAATCGTGTCGCGAAGAGGTTCTTCAATTAGGTCTTTGGCTGAGCAGGAGACGGAGGCGAGAATGAAGGCGTTGCCGGTGAAGTTGCGGCCGAGAGGAGGTTGCAGCCTGCTTCGTGAGTCTACCGGAAACTGCAGGCATATGTTTGCGTTTGGCTCTAGGGCAAGAGCCTTCACTCTTGCCTGTTTGGTATAAAGGGTAAAAGGAAAATAAACTATAAATAGTTCTTCAATTTTTTTTTATATAAGCCCCTCCCTTGATTAACTAAAATTTCAAATATTTCTCCACTAAATCTAATTTCCTATGGTTTTTATTATATCAAAAGTGGTATAAAAAACCTTTTTCGCAATGAATGTGTCTTTATTAAAGCATTTTTTTGTTCATACAAACATTTCAATTGTTATATCATAAATACTTTTTCTTTGATTTGCTCTTGTTAAAGTAATATTTATTTTCAAAATGTATCTCTATTTAAATTTTTTTTCTTGTGGCACTCTCAATTACTATGTTTTCATATGTACATTCTAAGTAATTTTCTGTTTAAATCTTTATTACTTGAAGATGTTATTCTTGTCTATACATTATGTCATATTCAAATAAAAACACGTTTCCATTGAGACTTACATTTTAGTCCATTTGATTTTTTGTTTTCACCAAACTAAACAATTAAGAGTGAAATGAATTAAAAAAAAAAACCCAGTAAACTCTTTGGAAAAATTTATATTTGAGTAACAAAAACTCAATAAACTGATTATATATGCACGTTAATTTGTAACATTTTTTATGTTTTTGATTTATGCTTCCTTAAAAATAAAGCCACTGTATATACACACACGTCTAACACTTCTATCTCATATAGTACTAGTGATTCATAATTTGATCCAGCATATTTTTGGAGAATTTGAAATCGTAAATACTTTTCACCTTTTTTTGAAAATCGAAGACTCCTTCGAAGATCGAAACATTAAAGTGGACAATACGTTAACAAACAACAATCATAGTACTGCTCAAAAATAGATAATTAAAAATGATTACTTTGGGTTGATTTTATACTATAAATTTGAACGAAGAGCTTTTCTTACTAACATATATTGCTCGTAGTGAGAAGGGCTTTTTAAATTGAGAAACTCCTAATCATTTTTATTTCGGTTGTTTCTTTTCTATTTACTTTGCTTTTGCAATTCGTTTTTTTTTTTAATTTTATTTTGGGCCTTGTATATATGCTTTAGGATTTTAAATCCTCCCCTCCCCCCTGTTTTTAAATAAATCTATGACTATTCAAAAAGAAGAAGAAAACGCTTTTCAACACTGTACTAGTTGTATATATAACATGCAAATATGTAATATTTATCATCAAAATGACATGAAGATTAAAAAAATTTTTGAATCCAAAAAATGTTTCTATATTGGTACACGCTTACACATTTTATAACTTGGTAATTTGAGGTGGTCTTGGTTTAAATTATACAGATATTATACACACACACACACACACACACTAATACGTACATCCACTTGTTTCCTTTGCAGAGATTTGGATTAATACTGCCAAAAGCAATTTAGTAGAGTTTTTTGTTATATAGGTTTAGTTACGTATTTTTCGTTTGATGTGTCCGTTCTTTTTCTTTTTTCTTTTCTTTTTAGGCTCAGTTTGTTCCCTGAGATTGTAGGTCTTTTTAGTTGTTTCTAAACATTTTGGTTTGATATAGATTGATTATGACTTTGTATTTTTTTTTCCTTTCTATTAATATGTTATAAAAGATGATATTTTGAGTGAGTGCTCATGTTTATATGATGTGCTTGAATTTCCTAATGCTAATATTGCTCCATCTCTCCATTTTACTATGAAAATTTTTTCCCTCTATATAACTTATAAATTCAATTATCCGTTACATACCTTCCAAACATGCGCAGATAGAGCGTCAAAGGTAGAGCACTTGGAGAGCTCGCCGCTTTGAACTGCGAATCCTTTCCATGTCTCCACAGTTTCCTTGTTCATGCAAAGCGTGAGGAGTTGTAGGCCTTGGCTTTCAATTCTTCCAAACTTGGCTAGTTCTGATTCCCACGATCCGTCGTCAGAAGCCACGGCTTGCACAGGAATTCCATAAAGATCTTGAATTGCAGCGATATGATCTTGTTCGAATATCGAAGAACTCGCTGTAGATTTAGGGCTTGAAATATTGTTACCATCAGAAGATCCACTAGTAGTAGTAGCAGCAGCGTTACTGATGGTAGCACTCAAAAGCTTTTCACGGGAATGGTTTGGGATGATCATAAGCTGATCATGATCATCATTAGTCTTACTGTCTTTGCCTGATCTTGACATATGAGCCCAGGATGCTAAGAAGTTGAAGGCTCCAAATCCATCAAACAAGGCGTGGCTACCTCCGAAACCGATAGAGATTCCTCCGCAGGAAAACTTTGTTATCTACCCATTGGGATGATCAAAATACGAAGGACAAAAGTTAAAGAGTTTTAAAGGGAAACAGAAACCACAAAAAAGAGTACTTTTTAAAGAAGACACAAAGAAAGTAGCAGCATTTTTTTCTGTACGCATAATGTGAGAGAGAGAAACGAATCTAAAGAAGGAAAATTAGTTGTTAATTGCAAGCAATATCCTTCCTTTATTATTAGCTGCTTAATTAATTTGCACCTTTGGTTGGTGAGGCAGAAATTAAGCCACTACCTTTTGTGGATGTAAGTTGGAACATTACTTTTTTTAAAGGCTTTTGATCAAGATTCTCAGTTAGTAATTAATCATTACATCTTCAGTTATTATAATAACTTGGAATACTCTTGTACGAAAATCACTTGGAAAACAAAAAAATAGTGTTATAATATCTTAATTAAAACTGCAGAGAGCAATCTAAGAACGTGACAGAAGGAGGGGTAACTACAACTTTGATATTGGAGGAAATACTAACCGGCAAGTATGAAGATTCTTAGTGCTAAAAAAAGGTGTGTAAATTATGTTTTTCTTATTCCTCCCTTGGTAGAGGGGTTCATAAGTGCTAAATATTTATAGGAAATTAAGCTAAATACTTATGATAGTATGCATAAATACATACGATAAATTATAAATAACTTTGAACTCCCCGTTTTGAAAATGGTGTAACCCACTTTCTTATACGTTATGCATTATCTAATTCTGGTAATTATGTTTGGAATGTTCTACGAACTGATGTGATTTTCTTTATCAATACATATGAAGTGTGCATGTTTACCCTTAAAAAAAAAAAATAGTTTGGCTGAAGACTTAACATGATTTCTAACTATTTTATTTGCTCTGTTCCCCATGTCTTTAGAGATCGGATTGTACGTGCAGAAAAATTTTCTTGTTAAGAGAGTATTCATAAATATAATTGGTGGTATGTTGGGACGTGCTTTATCAATTGTTCATTTAGTTATAAATAGGAGAATGTTTGAGACTACCTAGGCTTCACTGATGATCTTTTTTTTTTATTGCATTCCTTCTAATTTCTTTCTAATAATTATAATCTAACCTAATTAATAAACTAACAACAACAACATCATAAGGAATCAGAGAATTAAAAAAATCAAGTGAAATAACTATCCCTCAAAATACCAACGAGGACTTATTAATTCAGAAATCAAAATTATAAAAAAAAAAAGAGAAGTGTAGGGTTAGGGTTTCTTTCCTGAATACATGTCACTACAAATATGTTACAAGACATGCGTTATATAAAACACACACAACACCGAGGGCAAATCCAGGGGGAAAAAAAAGAAAAATTAACGGCCCATATATCAATAGTTTTAATTAGTTCCTACTAGTAATTATTAAAAATAAATTAGGGCAAAGTATAACCTGCACAACAACGAGTGGGCTATCTGATATGTTTCCTATGTCAGGCAGCTGGCGAACAAGCTTCTCGTAACAAGCCTTGTACTCATGCAGTTTTCCAAGCTCTTCAAGCTTGGAACAAGTTTCTGCGGTTATCACGGCGACGCCTTTTTCGTTACAGTCGATCTCAAGCTTTCCCGTCCCCGGATTAGTTCTAAGTCTTCCTGCAGCTGGGAACCAAGAAACAAGAACCCTTTGAAGAGCTCTTTTAGCTCTTTCAATCGCAAGGGCATAATCATTCGTTTCGGTAGTGCAAGAAATCTGATTAGGTCTATAAAAGAAGATAGTGTACAGAATGGCAGGAGATATCCTGTCCAGACCGGAAAGTTCAATGGTTTGTGATCTTTTGGACTCATGTACTTCATCATCACACAATGGTTTCAGAGATATTGTTTCCTTGATGAAAACGTTGAGGTCCATGGTATTTGCAGAGAATATGATCAATTTGTGTTAATGGGAAATTATTGAAGCTGCCTGAAGCTCATGATCCGAAGAAAAAGAGAAACCCTAGATATTTAAATAAGCTTCAAAGCATATGCTACAAAATGCTGGTATTGTCAACTTGAATAAAACCCTAATTTTATAGGTTGATTAAGGCCCACATGTTGTATAGTGGGGTTTGCTAGAAGGTGTGACAATATACACAATAAGATAAATAAAATAAAATAAAATCATGCGTGTATTTGATATATATATTATCCACAGAATCTAGTACTAATCTGCAAAAATCAAAATACGGTTCAAATAAATCATTGTAATAAATAGATAAGATGTGAATACATATATGTATGTGACGAATATAAATGTAGTAAAAGTAGTGATAATAGCCTTTATGTGGATTATGAATGTGAAAGCTAGCAATCTAGCTAGCTGCTAGCTAGCTGATTATTTTGTTTTGTTGTTTTTTAGGTAATAATTAATTAATTTTTTATTTTCTTTCTGTAGTGGTTGTCGGTAATCTTGTTTAGTCATTGGAGAGCAGGGCGAATTATGAAGGACAGATAACTAAATTAGCTTTTATGTTTTGGCCATTTCTCTAGAAGTTCCATTGTCATCATCCCCTCATATTTCTTACTACTTGATCACACGTCTCCAATAAACCTAACCCCGTTTTTTATTTGACATTTTTGTCTGGTATCAGTAAGATAAAAAATAAAAACTTTAGTTAGGTTTTAGTAGGGCATTAGTTTGCAAGCATTTGACTCATATGTCCCTTTTTTTATTCCTTTTTTGTTTCCTCAAGACAATATCATGTCACGCTAAATTAAAATATTTTAATATAACCTCTTGGTTGATGTGGACATAGTATTTTAATTGATATGACATATAATATTAAACGATCTCCAATTTAGATGCTAATAGTACTCAATGCTATATTTGGCTCCCAAAATTGTGGAAATAACATATTTGATATGTATTTTTTATTTGTTCTCAAATTTTATCCATGATATTTCAATTGACATGACATAATATTATTAGAGAGACATAAAAATGATAGTAATAAGAGAACACAGAAGTTGAATATCCTCATTTGGATTCTGGATGGATATCGGTGAATAGCCTCATTCGTTTCACTCGTTCGAGTTAAGAATTTGAGTTTAATGTGAATTTATGTGAGAGAAAGCACTATAGCAGAAAAAGTTGAATTTGAATTTTTGTGAGAGAGAATATTCTAACAAAAAACTTGAGTTGTGATTCCAACTAGCAAAACAAACGGGGTTACATAGTCTTGTAACCATAGTTCTTTGACCCAAAATTTTTGGATTAATGTGAGGAGAAAACAAACTTTCCATAATACCATGCACTACTCTCTAATGAATGCACAAAATACAGATCATAGGTGATCAACCATGCATGCAAATTAAACGTTGGGAGAGAGAGATGAGGAATATTAAATGGGTTAATTAAAAAAACTTTCCCTATAATTTAATTTAATGTGGTCAAAATTTTTTCCCCATTATTTTAGAAATCACATAAAAAAACAAGTTTTAGACAAGTGGTGCAGTTTTGTGAAAGTTTATCATCTTTGTCCCCCAAATTTAATTTCCGGGTATATATATATATATATATAATTGTATTATACGTCGTCTTTAGGGTACAAGTACTTTCGTTGTAGGGCCTCCACTTGCCTTGTAATGCCATTAAACTTTTGAATACAAGAGGACAATAATGAAGGTCTCTGCCGTTCCATGGACGAAAAGTTAAGCCGAAAAACATGCATTTTGTCTCCATCCCGAATACGGTCTCTATGTCGTTTCTGCTTTGCGAAAGAAATAAAAGCTAAAGTTCTGTGAGTTTCCTCTTTTATAGTGCTACTATTAGTGGTGGCCGGTGGCTTATAATTTAATTTATATTTTATTTACATGAGATTCCACCTCATTAATTTCTTTCCAACAAGCTGTGTGTACTCTATTATATTGTTAATTTAAATTCACGTCCATATGTTATTGATCATTAATTAACATGACACGCCAAATAAGAAAATAATTTTCTTTTTCAAATTAAAAAAAGTCTTGAATTTAGCCCCAATGTTTTTTTCATGAAAGAAAAAACATTGAATATGACATGTTTTTCTAATTTAGGCAAACAACGACATCAAGGAAAAAAATGTCGTTTGTATTTCTCAGTATACAACGACACGTCGTTCATTCCTTTAGGGCCCCGATTAACGAATGAAGTGTCAACTTTTAAAACCAATATTTTCTACCTTTTAAAACTGATATGTCGTTTACGGAAGAAAGGAGCAAAACGACTTTTTCTAGACAACAAAAGCAGAAACAGAACTGCCGTTTTGTTTACCAGAGAAAAACGACATCTTCGTATACACCAGAAATATATCAACTTGATATTATCCTTTTAGAATTAAAAATAAAATTTGTTTCCACTCGGTAAATTATTAATGAGAGCATAGGAGAAAAGATTCGTTATTTTTCTATTCAGGTAGGGGAAAAAAATCGAAAGTACGAAACGACGTGAAGGTAAAATGAAATGAGATATATGTTTATATATTTATATATCGTCCATATATAGACACACACACACACACGCACACACACACACAAACACACACATATATATATGCGCGCTATAAATATATATATATATATATATGTATATATATATATATATTATGAATATGCGTGTGGGAAAGAATACGTACGAGCATACTCAAATTAATATTAATATAGTTTCTATTTGTCTTCCTACAACCTACAGGGACAGAAGAATATATGTATAGGCTTCCCTTAAATAAATAAATAAATAAGTATAAGGAATACATGATACGCTTTTATATATAGTGCCTGCTTGATGTTTAGAACTCTAAAGAGACAATGCTCAATTATGTGTGTGTGTGTGCTCGTATATTGCTTGGTTATTACCTCCTTAATTACTTTTCTTGTATAACTCAAAATCTTTTATTAATTGGATATATCCTCTGAATGCGTTCATACTTTTTTATATAAATAATTAGTCTTTTCTCAAAAATATAGTTGTTTCCATTAGAGTCCTATTTATTTATTTTTAAATACTAGATCACGTACTAAGAAGTGGTCATGATTACAAAACTAGTGGCATTATGCTAAGAACTCGATCTTCATTATTTGTTTTTTGGTTTAATAAGCATTATCAAAAACAAAAGAAAAGGAATTAGCAATCCTAAAGCATAAAAGTTCTAAACATAAGAGTAAAAAACAAGCAAAGTAAACTAGACGACATAAAAATAAGAAAAACTACATTAAAGAAACAAACCAAGAGAAATTAAGATAATTTTCTCAATTTGAAACCTTTCCACTATGAGCCCTAAGTTAAGTTGGTAGAATATTGACTTCCTCTTTTTTTTTTTTTCTTTTTTTTTTTTTTGCTTTATCATTTATTTCCTCAAAATATCCAAATATGCTAATTAATTAATTTGTCTTAAAAACTTGAAGTAACAATATTCTCCATCTTTCTGAGCAAGTTTTCTAAGACGATTTATTGCACATAGCAATCTTGAACGGTTTGCTGACTTGGGAATGCTATTTTATCACTGCATTATCTGAGTACTTAGACATGCATTCAGAGTTTCTCATGTTTATCGTGAAGGTAATCAGGTAGCGGACAAGCTTGCTTCAGTAAGAGCTTCTTCGATTGGGTTTTAATGGCGTCGTTCTATACTCTGATTGCCTTTAAGCTTTCATTGTCAGTGATAGTGTTGGTCCTCCTTATTTTTGTTTTGCTTAAATGCAATGGTCATGCTCTCTTTATCTTTTGTCTAGGGTTTTAAAGACGCATCCTTTTAAATTTTTCTTCTTCTTTAGGAGTGAATCTTGCATTTAACGAAATGAATCACAGAAGTAACAACAATATGTTTTCTCCTCTTCAAGATGGTCATTTTCTTGTTTTTCTTTCTTTAGTTGTTCCTGTATTTTTGCACTTAAATGAATCACAGAAGCAACAACAATATGTTTTCTCCTCTTCAAGATGGGCATTTTCTTGGTTTTCTTTCTGTAGTTGTTCCCGTATTTTTGCACCTTTGTCTCTCCTTTTGGAGTTGGACCCACAACTTTTGTTTCGTATTTTTTTATTTTCTTATTTTAAACTATTTAGAGCGGGGAATTTGGGGGAATATTGAATTTTTAGTGTGTCTCAACTTAGTAGGCATTTGCAGTTATATATTTTCTCTTATATTTTTCCGGATCTTGGTTAAAAATTTAAGGCGTGTTTTATTTTCTCATTTAATAATGTGTTTACTTACAAAATTAGTGATACGGATTTAGTGGACCCAACACAGTGTATGAAATGTACTCAATCCTATACGTGAATAGTACTATATGCGTGAATCATGCTAGACACGAATGAGGTGTTATATAAGTAAATAGTATCACGACGTGAATAGTATCATATATTTAAATATATACAAGACCATACCGTATACTTGAACAATATCGTGTTGTATACATGAATGTCATATACATGAACTTTATACTGAAAGAACTTTTTGACCAAAGGATTGAATGCCAAAAGGACTGGACCAAAAGAACTACATAACTGGGAAGATTTATGGTTGTAGACATTTAATTAAAAGAAGAAACAATAAAATAGCAATACCATATGTTTATTTCTTATTTCAATATCATTAAGTTAATTTGCAACTGATATCAGGGTCGGCTCAAGGTGAATGCCTTAGCGACATTATATAAAGAGGCCTTATGAAAAATTATATATATTTTTATATTTAAAATATGTTTTTTTTAAAACCGTAAAATTATGATTAAATTTTTAGATTTAAGAGTTGCTAATATATATCTTGAATGTAATAGATCATTTGACTAATCAATTTAATAATTTCTGTTACATTGTGGACTTTAAGTACGATATTAGTTTTTTTTTTTATCAATATACATTTTTTTCCTACAATCATCATACTCCAAATTCATATA